TATATAATTTTTGATCTAATTTTTCATTTAGTAAAATATTAAAAAAAAACAAAATTAACAAAATACAAATATGTGGAATTGTATGCTAAACAAATTTGCTTAAGAGGTCAGAATACGTTATCTAAGAAAAAAAAGTTAAATATAGAAAAACTAAAAATTTTGAAATTAGTACATAGAAAACTTTTTTTTATACTAAAATAATTTTTTTAACTCTCTAATTAGAATTGTTCAGAATATAATTTTATATATAATTATTGCTTTAAAACTGTTAAATTTTTTTTTTTAGCAGTTTCTTTTTAAATTATACAAAAATTACAAAATTTTAATTCAGCTTCAAAAGCATTTTATTTTTTTTTTGATATTAAGATGACCTCTTGGCTGTCTTCTTTTATTTAGTTATTAGTTAACTTTACTATACACTAAGCTTCTATTAGAGCCCATACAGTATACATATTTGAAGAATATATACTAGCTATATGTACAACTTTTGATTGCCTATTTAAGTAGTCTGCTTATTACTAAGTTCTATACTAGATATCATATCTATAACTCAACTAGAGGGTTAACTATTTAAACCTTCTGAATCTATGAAGTTAAACTTTATAACCAAATGAGAATCTAGTGCAGACCCCTTATTTTTAAACACCTAGCTTAAGATTTTAAAGCAGACTTTAACTATTTTAGTAAGCCTTTTATTCTTAAGATAAATTTGCTAGAGCTTTCAGTATCTATATTCTACTAATCTAGACTTCAGTAACTTACACCGAGTCTGAGAACAAGTACTTGCAAGCTAAAGCTGCTACTATTACCTATTTCTGCTCTTGTAGAGTTCACTCAAACCCCAGTACCCACTTTACAAACTATTAAAAGTACTTTCCGAATTCCAAAATACCAATTCAGATAGCCCAGGAGAGACTTTCACCTGAAAGTTACTAGTTTTTTGGTAATCGCAAATTAAATAGATCCTTTTTTTTTGGTTCTAGCAGTCTGGTTAGTAGAAGTGTCTTCTCAAACACTTTGTCTATTCAGTTTTCTTGATTTGACCTGGCTATTCCAAACTACCAATTCAAATAGCCCAGAAAAGAACTTTTGTCTGTAGGTTACTAGTCTTCTAGTAACTTCAATTAAGCAGATCCTTTTTCTCTAGCTCTGGCAGGCTGGTTGGTGAGGTGCTTTTGCTATACTCCTCAGTCCCATTCAGTTTTCTGGTTTTTCTAGTAATAATCTTTTATATAGTACTGTCAAAAGTTTGTATTACCTCTTAAAGCATTTATTTTCTTTTTTATGATATATTTATTTATAAAATTTAATTAAAGTTAATATGTAAAAAAAGAAATACAACTACTTTAAAGCTTATTAGTAATTCTATATATTTTTGTTATAATTATATATATATAAAATTTAGATTCAAATAAGTATAACAAATCAGTTGACTAATAATATAATTTTTATTTTCAAATATTATCAAAAAAAATTTATTTAGAGACAATTTATACACCACATCTTGTGATATTGCCACATCCCTGCAGATCATAAAATCAGATATAATGTAAAATCAAAACAAACAGTTTTTTTATAAGTTAAGGTTAGGGTAAGGTAAGGGTAGTTTATGAGCTTAAAGAGAAATTTTATAGTAAAATTTTAGGAGAATTTTTTTTTGTTAGAATACAAAGAGTGGTTTTATATATGAAGTTTTGTATTATAAACAATTTTTGACAAAATGAATGTTTGTTTTAAATTTTTTTAATTTTGCTATGTTATATCTGAATTGGTTATTCATATGAGAGGTGGTAAATTAGTAATATCACAGGGTGCAGTAAATAAATATACTCTTTTATTTAAATATATTAAAATTTAAAAAAAGTAAATTATAAACATATTTATAGTAATTTTCTAGACAAATTTGTCTAAAAAAATCCTACAGTTTAAGAGATAAATAATTTAAAATAATCTATATTAACAAGAGTATAGTATTATTAAAAAAGAGATGTAAAAATATTAATTTTCTTATATTTATTTAATTAAATATCAATTCTTTACTAACTTAAATTTAATTGTTAATTCAGACAAAAATAAATCTGAGTTCCAGTTTATATTTATTTGTTATACTTTTATTGATTTAATAGTTATTTAATAAACTATTAAATAATAAAGTTAAAAAATAATTAATATATAAATATAAACTAGTACTTAAGTTTAGTTTTGTCTGAATTAAGAATAAATATCTATCTACAGATTATTTTTAATAGTAATTCTATGATATTTATATAAAATCATGTGATTGACTTATTAAAATTATAAAAACAACAAATTTAACAAATTAGAATTAGTAATTTTTATATAATTTAAGTTAATTTAGGGCTATTTAAGTTTTTTATCAATATATAAAGTAGATTTTTTAAAAGATATAGTGTTTATAATTTTACTGTTATAAATAAATAATCCAAATCATATACCAAAAAATTTAGTAAAGATTAATTACAATTCTAAAAGTTTATTAGAAATAAATTTTTGCTATCTATATAAAATTTAATATACTATAGATTATATGAAAATGATCTATAGATATTTTATTTTTAATTTGATCAAAATATCAGAAGGTAAATTTTAAGACAAAAACCTATATATTTACTTGATAGGTTTTGTAAAATATCTAGATAATAATTATTTTTAAACAATCTCATTATATATTTTTTATTTAGAACTAAGTTATTTGTCATATATGTGACAATGGCTTATATATCACTAAATATTTATTTGTCAGAAAATTCATCACAGATATAAAATAAAATAATTATATATCACTATTAAATATCACCTCTAATCAACTATTCTATTTATTAAGTTTACTAAATATAAAAACTAACATTTTAATATTTAAAACACACAAGTAACAATACTAATTCTAAGCTCCAAATAAGAACATCTAGAGAAATTAAGTTTAATGTGGCCTTGCATGATCTAAATGCACAAATATCTAGATAAAAAAAATATTTAATCCGGATTTATAACTTTCACTACAATTACGTTATTAACCCCAATAGCGAAAGAATAACCTTACCTTAATTCTAATCTGCAAATAGAAGCACCTAGAGAAGCAAAATTTGATACGGCATTGCATAATCTAAAAGCATTTAATGAAAAATTTGTTAGATTAAAATTTTTTTTAAAAAAAAGATCGAAATAAGTTATTTTCCTATAGCCCATCTAAAAAACAACTATACTAGTACTCACTCTGACTCTAACCTTTAATAAGGAATGTTTAAAGAAATTCACATTCTATACGCCTTGCACGGTCTAAATTAAAAAGAAAAATTGAAAGTTATTTTACTATAGCTCATCTAAAAAAAGAACCATCTTGGTACTCACCCTGCTCCTAACCTTTACTAGGGATATTTAAAGAAATCCACACTCTATACATCTTACACAGTCTAGATCTAAAAAAAAAAAAATTATTTTCCCATAACCCATCTAAAAAAAAGAACTATACTAGTACTTACCCTGACCCTAACCTTTAATAGAAGATGGTTAAAGAAATTCACATTATATACGTCTTGCACGGTCTAGATTTTTTTAAAAAATAAAAAATCATAATAAGTTATTGTCATGGCTGATGCTGAAATTTGGGGTCTCAATATGAAACTATAAGCTCTGCCAAAATCCACATATACTCTTTAAATATCAATATAGCCCTAAATCCCAACCTACCTATAAAAAAAATCGTACAAAACACACCCCAAAAAGATTTTAAAATTTCATAATAAAATAGATTCAAATTTTAGCATCAGCCAATTTTAGAATCAGCCACGACAGTTATTTTCCTATAGCCCTATCTGAAAAAAATAACTATGCTAGTACTCACCCTGACCCTAAACTTTAAAAGGGACGTTTGAAGAAATTCACGATTTATATGCTTTGCACGGTCTAGATTTTTTTTTAAAAAAAAATTGAAATGTTATTTTTCTATAGCCCCATCTATAAAGAAGAGCTATGCTAGTACTCGCCCTAACCCTAAACTTTAAAAGAGGATGTTTGAAGAAATTCATGATTTATACTCTAGATTTTTTTTTTAAAAAAAATTGAAATGTTATTTTCCTATAGCCCATCAATAAAGAAGAGCTATGCTTGTACTCGCCCTAACCCTAACTTATAAAAGAAGATGTTTGAAAAATTCAAATTCTATATGTCTTACCGATCTAAATTCAAAAAAAAATTGAAATAAAGTTATTACGTATAACCTAATATGAAAATGAACTATAATAGCACTTACTCAAAACCTAACGTGAAATTCTATATAGCTTGCATGATCTAGATTTAAAAAAAATAAAAAATAAAAATAAGCTATTTTTCTACAACCCCTTCTATTATAAAAAAAAAAAAACTATGCCGTTACTCACCCAATCGAAATTTTTACGGAGGATGCTTGGAGAAATTTAATTTTATATGGCTTTCACGATTTAAATTCAAAAAATAAGTTATTCTCTGTATACCCTTAATATGAAAAAGAGCTATGTAATACTTATCCTAATCTAACCTTAAAGTAGAATGCTTGAAGAAGTTTAAAAAAATAAATAAATAAATAAATAAGAAATAAGTTATTTATTTTACTTATAACATGCCTTAATATGAAAATGAGATGATACTTAACCTACTTAATTCTAATCTTCAAAAGAAATGCCTAAAAGTTCTATGCTTATTAACTCTAGTGCTAGTTAAATTAAAATTCTATGCTAAAGTAAATTTCTTGAGTAATATTAAATTACTATGTAATTTGAGCGTTCTCAAGTAGCTCTCTCAATGAATTTGATAAAAAATCCAACCAAACAGATGTTTTTATCGAATTCATTAAGAGGTGCTTAAAAATCCTATAGTCATACTTCATAAGTTATTATTAATCTAAGTTTTAATTTGAGCATTAATTTGCTATATCAATTTGAGATTATTACATATTATGCAAAAATAAATATGTGCTATATCAACTATTTTTTGTTAGAGCAATTTCACTTATCATGTTTCTTGTTTTTACAAATACTACACTGACGAGAAGCACAGGATGAAGTACGTGTACGTTTCTTTGGTTTTTCAATTGCTAATTTTATATGCTTTTTGGAGGGGCGCCCTTTCCCAATATATTTAAATAGATCCTGAACATCTAGTTGTGTCATTCTGATATCTTGATCATTCTTTGTATCTTGATCACTCTCTGTATCTTGATCACTCTCTGTATCTTGATTATTTTCTGCAATTTGATCATCATTCAGTTCCGATTCTATAGTTCGTTTGTCGCATTGTGCTTCCTCATGGGTGCGTATCCATTCCTTAAATGTTTCCATTAAAATCTTTGAATCATTTAAATCATTGTAATTAACTACTTCTACACATTTATGGGCAAGTCAAGCAATGTTCTTTTAATTGATTGTTTGCGGCCAATCACTTTTGCTGCAGTTTGTACAGGAGGTTCAATAAGCATGATATTCCACGAATCAGCAACATCCGGAAAAGAAGGTAAGGATGGTGTTGAACTGTTCTTTTCTAATGATTTGTTTCTAACAAATAGCTTATCAGCAACCACTATGTCTATAAATTCATCTTTGTACCAACATCTTGAAATAAGAGAAATATGAAAATAGACCTTTTCAGACTGTAAAAGAACACAAAACCAATGACAGCAAACTACTCCACTATCAAATAATAAAATGCATGTGCATAAATAAAATCTATTTTTTAATAGCACTACATTCTGTCCAACATGTGAATTATGTTCAATTGATTGAACATCCCAAACTTCAGCAACTAAGGAATAATCAATCCCTTCAAAAAGTTTGTCTGACGGAAATCATACTCAAATTCAATTGGCCCATTATCAACAATCTCTAATGTTAAATTATATGGATCCTCAAAACTAACCCTTTTGCTATGATACATTACTGCCTCATTCATTTGATCAGTATGTAACTGTAAAATTTTA